TGTAAAATTTATAGTTGAAATAGATAACTGAACCAGACACTTTGTGTGTCACCAAAGATTGCGGCTTTTCACTGTTTTAGTCAAATAATCGTAATGTCCAATTGTACATAAATCGAATTACAGTTTTATATCAAATTGATCATCAATTGGACTAAATATACACATCAATGTTTGTGACGTTTGTACATTCATTGAACATTAAATAGTCTCAATTTGTTCAAACATGAATGTGCATATGATGTTCACTAGATGTCCAATTGAATCTTAATTTAACCTAAATTGAATAACAATTTGATGTAAAATTGATCATCAATTGATCGAGATACGCACATCATATGTATATCGATGTTTGTGACGTTTGTACAATAATTGAACGTTAAATAGTCGTAATTTGTACAAACATAAATGTGCATACGATGTTCAGTTGAACATTCTTGAACATCAATTTAATGTTCAATTGATGTACATGTGTTATATGGGTAGGAACATATTAAAGTGATGCAAACAAATGTTATGTAAACGGTTAAGGCCATTTACCAAATAAAAATATAGGCATATGGAATATCAAAATGAAGCTTAGAGTGTGTAGATTTTCTGAAAAGTTTTGATATGGACAAACTCCCTAAGAGGTCTGCCCCACAGACTGATTTCCAAAGGGCTACGCCTTGCATGTTTTGGAAGTTAACGTTATTTGAGTAATTTAGTGAACAACAGCTGGCCAATGCAATTTACAATATAGTTTGTTGGTTTATGTTCTTAAAAGAGGTGCGGTGAATAGACAGTGAAGCTATCTCTAGCCGTTTGATATAAGTGAGTGGTTAAAGGTGTTCGAAACACGATGAATATGAGATTAACAAACCATGTATGTCGTTCGTTCCAAGAGGTTGTAACCGATTTTTAACAGGTCGCCATTTCATTGACAAGTATTTAAGTAAAGTATTAAAGACGTGAAAGAGAGCGGCGAGTTCAGGTACAACCCTACCCACCTTAGGACGTAAGGTTTGAAGGCTCCAATGCTTTTTTACCATCCTTTCAGATGACAATTTCTCGAACTTGGGCCCTTTAAATGAAATATAAAGTCAAAGTTGATTAAATTAATTTAATGGTGGCTTCTGTACACCCGTGAATTTGCGGGTAGAACCTCTTATATTGTTAATAGCAGTTTTCTTAGACTTAATAATATATCTTATCTAACAAAGTAATGTACCGGTAATGTCAAATCTGACGTGAGAAGCGAAGAGAGGATGATATGTTGTGTAAGTGCCGTATCTTTTCCTGCAATTTCGTTGATCCTTTTTATTCCAAAAACTACAGTTTGAAACTTTTTTATGCCAAATTTATTTTCAAAGTTAAGGTAAGTTTTTTGGATCTATTGTGACTCATACAAATTAGTTGAGGTCTATTATTGTTTTCAATTTAGGATTGTTGTTATCTTGCACTAGGCCTATATCATTATTCTGGTGGAAAGGTTGGTGAGATTTACATCCCTGGGTAAATCTTGACACCATCTTTGACCAAATGAAATTATTTGTACAGGAATATTATAGTAACTTAGCCTACCCGTTATAGCTTGCCTATATTCGATAAGGTACGTTAGGTGTAGCCTACCTATACATTATTCAAAATTCTTTATTGGGAGGATACAACTTAATAAAAATACCCCCGCCGCAGCAAACCTGCCGTCTAAGCGAATTTCCATTTGGCCGAATTGATTTTCAATTGATCTATTTAAATAACATTATTAGGTTTAACGAGTACCTAGGTTTGCTGCTACAAGGAAACTAATAAAGTAGTGTGTTTTTAGTAAAATACTGATAGCTTACTATAAAGTAAATAAATTTGCCAAGTTTGATCAAAATATATCCATAAACAAGCAAACTACAACATTTTACAATATTCTCCATAAGAATAACATGGGAATTTTAAATTTACCATTTTTTTAGTTTTCTCCGTAACCAATAACCGTACAAAAACACTTTGATATACTGAATTGTTTGTTTTTTTAAGCTCTTTAAGAAGGTTTAGAGAAAAATTGGGAAATTTTGTGTTTTGAGGGTAAAAAGTGAGAAAAACCAATTTTTACCCCATAAAACCCCCCATAAAACCCTGTTCCCATGGTCCGATCATGCTGGATCGCGAACTCATTCAAGTTTATCCCGCCTTACACCTTCAAACCAAATTTCATCAAAATCGGATAAAAATTACTCAAGTTATCGTGTTCACGGACACATATATTAAATCTATATATATATATACCTATATATATATATACATATATAAAAATTTGAACGAATGGTGTCTTTGGCCTCTGGGGACATTAAAATGAAAAAGTAAATCGGTCCCGGGCCTAAGTCTTACCATGAGACCTACGGTAATAGCTACTTCCCTATAGGGAAATTCGCTAAAAGCAAGACTTGTCCACTTTAAATTATCAATAGTGCTGATTTATTAATGGCATTCTTAAAAATTAACTCCAAGACAGAAACTGGCCTAAGTTAATATAAATTGGCTTTGGAACCGTAATGAAAATGAATGCCTTTGAACTTGAACATGTCTTTAAAAGCTAAACGAAAAAGGGACCTAAATAAACCATTTTTTGCCAAGTTAACCAATCATTTCAAGCTAAAGATTTCTATTTCAACCGGTATATTTAACATAATTGATAAATTATTGATCTCATTTCATGGAAGCCCCTGAGTCTAAGTTTGACAATGTTTTTGTAAATAGAGTATAAGCATGGTATACGTTAATACCTTGGATAAAGAACACTCAAGCTGATTAATTTTTATTTATGTTAATACAGTATGAGTATGTTCCCATAGTGAGGGATTTCGCGGTATATTCCATATACACAACACACTGTCAATTTTTTTCAAGTGTCTGTCGTAACATAACCACAAACCAACCAGTCCGATTACGATGACGTAAACTTACGACTACGATGGGCAAATATCGATTGTAGTAGGATCTATCGATTATATCGATAGTTGGCGACTGACGACTCGAGTACTCGACCGAATCAACGATGACGTCATGGCCTGCTGTGCTCTCTAATACAGCGCTGTTCACGGAGGAAATTTGAACTAAATTTGCCTCATTTGTACCTCCCTTCAGTCAGACCCCCGAGTTTTCCCGAGATTCCGTTCCACCATTGTTCCACCTATCCTTCATCTTCTTCTCCTGCTTAATATTTTACTCTCACTTTTTGCTTACTAATCGTTGATCATGTATATATAATCACCCTGCCGTTGTTTTTTCATAGATAAATATCATAGACTAACCAACCACTAGTATGTTTTATCTATGTTTTATCTATGTTTTATCTATGTTTTTATCCAAGGGACTACTATGTTTTATCCACGGCCGCCTTTAGTTTTGGAGTATGTTTTATCTATGGTTTTATCAAACATAAGATTTCTCATCCTGGTGGAACAGCTGAAGCAAATTTTATTGTTAGTTCTGTCCGGAGCACTTTAGAGGTCGTGTTTTGTTACGACTTGTTTCTTGTTATTTCAGTCATTTCAAACCTCGTTTAAGCAAATAATACCCCCGCCGCAGCAAACCTGCCGACTAAGCGAATTTCCATATGTCTGAATAGATTTTTCACCAAACCTATTAAAATAACATTAGGTTTAATGATTACCTAGGTTTGCTGCCACAAGTAAACTAATAAAGTGTATTTTTTTGGAAAATATTAATAACTTAGTATAAATAAATAAATTTGCCAAGTTTGATCAAAATATTTTTATAAACAAGCAAACTGCAACATTTTACAATATTCTCCATAAGAATAGCATAGGAATTTTACATTTAAATTTGTTTTAATTTTCTCCCTTACCAATAACCATACAAAAACACTTTAATATACTAAATTATTTGTTTTTTTAAGCTATTTAAAAAGGTTTAGAGATAAATTAGAAAATTTTGTGTTTTGAGGGTCAAAAATTAGAAAAACCATTTTTTACCCCATAAAACTCCCCGTAAAACCCCGTTCCCATGGTCCGATCATGCTGGTTCGTGAACTCATTCAAGTTTATCCCGCCTTACACCTTTAAACCAAATTTCATCAAAATCGGACAAAAATTACTCAAGTTATCGCGTTCACGGACGTATATATATATATATATATATAAATCTATATATATATATACAAATTTGAACGAATGGTGTTTTTGGCCTCTGGGGACATCAAAAAGAAAAAGTAAATCGGTCCCGGGCCTAGGTCTTACCGTGCTACCTACGGTAATAACTACTTCCCTATAGGGAAATTCGCTAAAAATAAAAGGATCTAACCATAAACAATAACTCGTTCTCTAGTTATATAGCCAAACAGTAAAGCACAAATCATGAAATTAAACCTAAATTCATTCATTCATAACAATTTATTAATTACCATAAAGTTATTGAAATACTTCTGTACCGTGTTTATTTATTTATATTTATTTATTTGACGGTAACAACCATTTACAGTATCATAACAGTACAATGCCATTCATAAACATATATTTAGTTTATAATTACGGGATCAACCCGAGAATCATCGGCCAAAGATGAAGACAACAAGTCGTAAATAATTTCTGTGCTCTTAGTTACTTTTCATTGTTGCCTAAGATAATAACAAATACCATTGACTGTTGGCACATTGGATATGTAACTAATCATAACAGTGCAATGCCATTCATTATTATAATTATTTTTAATTACGTGATCAACCCGAGAATCATAGGTCAAAGATGAAGAAAACAAGTTATCAAGTAACGAAGTAGGTAAATAAGCGTTCCAATTGATTAAAGTCAAAGTGGGAGCACTGGTCTCAAGCAATTATTTTACAATCAGTAGTACAAAATTACAACTACATAACTACTACATTGATTAGGTTATAGCCATAATAATAGAGATCGATGGGTTATATAGTAGTGTTATAATCAATGGTTATAGAGTTTGTAAGTGTGGTCACAATGGCAACTGGCAACACTGATTCTCTAAATTGTCTTCCCTTCCCAAATAAATATTTTCATTCTGTCAGAGTCAGTGTCGATCTGTCATTTTCATTTTAATTTTTTGTAGTAATAAATAACAAACAAAGGCTTATCAACTTACAATTCATCAGTCACACTATAATTGATATCACTGTAGTCATATTATCATAAATAATACTTCAATCTTTGAAATGGACACTCAGAAAGAAGATGGATCAAGTAAAGTTTTGTCTTTTGCTGAAAAAAATGCGGAAAGGCTGAAAAAACTAAAGGACCTTCATTTAAAACGAGTAAGTATTAGACAATTATTTATATCAACATAATAAATTAATAATTGTTTCTTTGCATTACAAGTTGAAGAATGTTAAGCAGCCCAAGTTATGGTTTACATCTTAACCTTAAAATACCTTACAGGTACAGGTATCCAAAATTGATATAAGTCTCAACAACAAACTACGCCAAGCCTATGAAGGACTAGGATTGTAAAGTCTCAGCTACTGATTTTCAGGTTTTGTGTTAACCGTTATTCTTAATTCCATAACCATTAGTAGCAGCATTAATTACGTTATTATGCGTTTATTGGGCAACCAAAGATTCCAGTGGCGGATATAGAATATTTTTTTGGAGGGGGGCGAGATTAATTTAGGGTTATTTAAGTAATTTCAAGTAGACACGCCATGACAGTTTTGCTGTGGTAATTTGCGCTAACTTAAATGTGAAATGTGACCTTTTCCTTACCAAGATCACGCTGTAGCCTATCATTAAATTGGTCCGTTAAATTATAAAAATGTAGGTATCTATTCAAGCCAAATGAAGAAAATAGGCCTATTTCAATTACTAAATCAAACATTGGTCACGATTTAACAGTTTGTCATTCCATCTGTAAACACTTAGCCTAGGCCCTATCTGAACCTAAGGAGTCAAATACGCGATTGTGATTATCATATTTGGAGGAGTTCTAACTACTGTAGTGTATAATTGAGGCTGTAGCTGCTAAATGGGCCTATCTCGAAAAACTGACGTTTTGAGATAATCACTGTTAAAGTTTAGAGGTTATGTTTGGCCGTCTGCGTTGGCAGTCTTCTCTGCTAAAAAAGCCTGGTGACACCAGCTGACTTGAAGAGTCTACGAACAAAAAAAAACTAAAATACACCATTCCAAATTATCAAAAGAAGACAAGATGAAGCAAAATAGTGATTCTCTTCTCAAAGGGCCCATCCAAAAGTTTGACAAAAAATGCCTGTGCTAGGTTATGTTTGAATGCTGTCAGCATTGGCACTCGTCCATACTAAAAGGGCCTAGTGACACCAGCTGGCTTTCAGATTCATACCAACCAAACAAACTGAAATATACCATTCCAGTGATCAAAGATTATACTAGAAGAAGACATAAAGAAGCGACATAGCGAATCTCATCTATATAAGGGCCCATCTCGACTTAGGCCCCTTTAGCAGCTTCAGCCTTAATTATTCTTTTGTGCAAACTGCAAAACGTTAACATTTCAGTGGGTACAACATAGCCTATGTCGAACAGATGTAAATAATAAACAATAACAATGGCTAACTTACCACTGAACTGACTAAACTCTTCATTACTCCCCTCCCCTGTCGCCAGTAGATATGCTGGTCTCTAGCGGTCACTGCTGCAAGCAAAGATAGCCGGGAGGCAGGCGGGAGCTCGAGTCGGTCTGAAGCAATCTGAACGCGTACAAACTATCACTGTCTGCCAAATTCATCAGGGATATTTGTGGATCTAAAACGGCCTACCAGTTCTAACCCAAAAACTTTTTTTGGGAATCAAAACCAATAAAAATTGCGGTCCTTAGTGAATCTCACATATTCTTATTTTGTAATATATATGAAGGATAACTTAGCCTTGGTAAGAAAACTGATGAACTGGAAGTTGCTTTGGTGAGTAATCCTTACACGACTTCATCTGATTATCTGAACATTGTATGAGGGAAGTTAGCCTAGGTGTTAAGCGGATTAAAGGCTTTTCCCCGGTTAGTTATTTTTGCCGCTCCGACCTCGCATTAACTGTTGGGTTATCCGTGCTCGCTAGAAAAATATTAGTTTGTTTTGACCGACCATGTTTTGAGAGCAGTTCGATTTAACCGCCACTTTCTAGAAATCTCAACATTTCCGCTCCCACGCTCGGAGATGAGAACTATACGTGAAACTCTTTAGGATGTTACTGTATAAATAAACATCATGTCTTTTAACGGAATGGTTGCTTGTAACTTTAATTTTGATAGAATTTTCGTACCGTATTACGACAGATTCTGAAAGCATCAATTAATATTACTAAGGTAACTTATTAAAATAAGAATTTTTATTGACTCTTGCCTAAGACTATAATTTACTCTACTGAAAGTTAAGTATTTGATTTCATCGTGTTTTGGGTTTGTTTGTGACTTTTGTCGTCAATACAATAGCAATCTGACACATATTTTCTCCCATTCGCTTGTCAACAGCCGTTATCATCTGTGGTAAGCGGTGGGAGTAACTATTATATGGCAAAAATCACAAAAGTTGCAATAATATTTCAACCATATATTTTAAAGCAAGGGCAGGGTTGCACTATTTTGTTTGGAATTATATATATATTTGTAGTGTAAAGGTGAATTTTAATAAGAATAAGAATAAGAATAAGAAAGTTTATTGCCGTTGACCAGGTTGTATACAGGAATAGGCATTGTCAAACATACTGAATTAACTTAATTAACTGAATTAATTAAATACTGAACATAAACTGTACCTATATAACTGCCGACTAATATTGTAAAGTTCAATTTATTATTCTGGAAGCTCTAGAATTATAATGTAATAGTATTCATAGACGTCAAACTGTGTTTACTCCAAAAATGAAAATGTTTAGAGAAAAAGTCGTTCTCTTTGTCTAAATTAGACAACAAAATTGTTGGTTGCAAAATGTTAACAAATAAAAAGACGACTTCTAATGTTATTCTTATGGGACAAATTTAAAAATGTATTTTTTGGTTTTTTTAATTATACTACTGAGCGGAAACATCTAGAGTTTTAATAGTGTTTTCCGAGTGGTGTCATAATTATCTGTGCAAAATTTGAACTCTATAAGTGCAACGGTTCTTGAGTTTTTGATGCGAACACACAGAGTCACAGAACAAGCGGACAACTAATCTCTGACTCCGCTATACACGATACATAGATTTGTTCACTTCGTTAACTCATCTATTCAAACTTACTTCAATATATATAGGCCTACCTATTCAATACAATAACATATGTAATACATCTAAACACCAGTCTTTTTCAACTTATGTAGACTATAAATGTTATTTAGCTTCTGGCTTCTTTGGGTCATTTCCCTATGAATTTCCTATATTATTATGTATATGTTATATTATTATATATTGCTATATAAGACAGCAATATATTTGCTTTAGCCTAACTGTTTTTTACTACCTATTATGCATAGACGTGTAGTAGGTAATTTAAAAGCCCACAGGTACTAATTTTGTTGGGTCAATAAATACTGGTTAGTCTCAATAATTTAATCAATAAGTTAAGAAGATGAAAAATGAATTAATTTAAATTAATCAATTTTTATTACAAGTTAAAGAATGCAATTGCAGTAACCAGTATTATTTTTTGGTCAATTATTATATACCTAGTAGGATTATTATTAGGTAATGTTTTTCCTAGAACGAAGCCAGACAACAAAATCACAAAGAGGTTGTAGAAGAAGACAAACGAAATAACTTGCCGTCTAACTGGGAAGCGCGGAAGCGGAAAGCTGAGTGGATTTTAAATGATGAAGCCCAACGTGACGCGGCTGCTGAAAAGGTGATTGGTCTACTGTAACCATTGTTAACTAAAACATGTATGCTAAAACAATATTAAATCCTCCTGGGAAATATTCCTTACTTGACAAGCTACTAAATACTACTACTAAGCTACTAAGCTACTAGATAGGAACCTGTTCTTTTACAGGAGAGAAACTGTATGCTTAATACACACAAATAAGTTTGCAATTGGCAACACAAAAAGTTTGTATGTTAATTAAATTTATTAAAATATTATCTGCTGTCAAAATGTATCCAGGTGTTTATTTTTCAAGATAGGATCATCAAAATCTCATCATTGTCAGGTTTTGTAATGATAATAACACAATTTGGTGACAAAAACCTGATAAAATTAATTAAGCCTGTGACATGAAGCATCTTCATTTCAATACTGCTGATGACATTGCTTGAGCGACAACCTTTGAAGGAAGGTTACAAATAAAAAGAAAACGCATTTCTGGTACAAGAAGCAACTATGGCTGTAACCAGATACGTTTGTCAAGTTTATAAATTATGTTGATATTATCAAAAAAAATTGCCAGATTTAACTTAGAGACAGTAATTTCCAGAGTCACTGTCTTAAATGTTAAGTTTTGACCCTTTTGTAACTTATTATTGGTTTTTTTATAATTGATGTGTATAATGTTGATTATGCTCATCATACATTTTTTTCCAAAAAATCTGTTACTAATGTTAACATTGAAATTCCATAATTCTGTGCGAAATTTACCGTTGCTGTAGATGAACAGCTGTGGACCGAGTTTTCACAATGTTTAACATGATTCAGGGTGAAGATTACGACAGAATCAAACTTCTCAACATCAGCGCAGCTGAGGCAGAAAGACTTGAGCGAAAGAAGAAGAAAAAGAACCCAGATACTGGTTTCGCTGATTATGAACAAGCTACCATCAGGCAGTACAACAGGCTTGTGAAAAACATGAAGACAGACATGGATAGCTATGAAAAACAGAAGGAAACTCTGGGAGAGGCTTTTTACGGTGGACCAAACACGATTCTCCATGGGCTGCAGAAAGACAGCAAGGAAGGCATTGAAAGGATGGTTGGAGATCTGGAGAAACAGTAAGTATATTAGGAAATATGGCTAAAACCATAAAATAAAGAACTTAACCAAAACTCTCTTTGAGCCGTTTAATAATAACATTGCGTTTGAATCTGCCAATGTCTACACCAGAATCTAGGAGAGCTGCTATTGCTGACTGAAGCGCTAGTTCAGACTTGAGGGCGCTAGGAGAGAGAACTAATATCACTACACTGTTGCTGTCAGCTGATCATAAATATATACGTGAAATAGGCTAGTTTGGTACTTTGTAAAGAAAATCACAGGGACAGCAGCGCTCCTAGATTCTGGTGTAGGGACTATCAGATTCAAACGTAACCTTTTTTTATTAGCTCAGTGTGACTGTTGGGTCAGGTTTTTATCCTTATCTGATATATATTATACTAAAGTACGATAATCATAATATTGTAATTAATTGTAATGCAAACAGTAGAAATGGATTTATCAAAGGATTTATTGTTATTTTGTCATTAATGTATCTGTGAGTTCAAAAAGTAGTTATCTTCTTTCATGGCTTGTGACAAGTTAAGTAAAGTAAGGCGAAGACTGAAAACTGTAGTTTAATTGGCTATAGGCAGCCTCTTCACTATCTATGGCCTCAGACGGATTATTTACATTTTTGAAAATACTTCACATCCAAGTTAGAAATAGGCTACACTATTGTTAACTACTTTGTTCCTTTGTGTTTTCAGTATTGTGTCATCGTTTTGATAAATAAAGCAAAGATTAGGCCTACTTTATTTTCCTCACAGGCAAAGTAAGGGTGATACTTAACCTGCAAATTTAAAGCCAGACACTTTCAAATTTGTGTTATCATGAAAAGATAAGATTGTTTTAACATGGCTATAGACCTGATTCCTTGTGTGCATCACTCCGAGGGGTTTTCAGCTTTTAATTCCTTGGTTGCATACTTGCATAGCAGTCTCTGACTTCAGCAAGTATGCCAATAAGCCGGTAAAACAGTGCCTGCACTACTTTTGGCGGCCACTAGTAGTTAGTTGTAGGCTGAATTTCATCTGTGTAGCCGTGCTTACAGACAATGGTCCCTTTGGTTGCAAACTCTAAGCAATTAAACCTGATCTCTTCAAGCTAATTCTACTCAAACTCATATAGTAATTTAGGGTCATAAGTATTAGGGTTTCACGTAATCCATAAAATTTAGTTTAATCTTATTCCAGACACTTTAGAATACTTATACTTATACTTTTTATTGAAATGGCAACCATACAAAGTAGGTATTTTAAGCCAAGTATGAATGAAGATGAGTGTAGGATGAGTGGCACAATCTTGTAGTCTTGTTTGTGACTAAGGCCGACATATTCCTTAGACACAGCTGTTAATTAATCCTCATTAGTTTGGTTTTTGAAGGTTTTTGTCTATCTGTGTGCTGTTGGAAAGATAAGTACAGTAGTTCATTTTGTTTGTAATTAATTGTTTATTCTCAACAGAACATCAAAAATAAATTATTTAGATTTATATATAGATTTATATATTTGATAAACCATAAATATAAGTTTCTCATAATGTTTTTTATATATTTTTAGAATTGCCAAAAGAGAAAAATACAGCAGAAGGAGAATGCACAATGATGATAATGACATCGATTACATCAACGAGAGAAACATGAAGTTCAACAAGAAATTAGAAAGATTTTATGGAGAACACACAACAGAAATCAAGCAGAATCTTGAGAGAGGAACTGCAGTGTAATGTTTTGTAAATATATATTTAAATGTCTACTGTTTCTTAAAAAAGTAAAAATGTGTTAGAAGTATCTTTTATATTTCAGCGTATAATTCAAGCTTTATTTCCTATTTTACTTTTTTCATATGTACTAATGATTATGAAATCTTTGGTTTTTGTAAACAGTATTTCACTCTTTTACGATTTGCTATTATAAGCAGATCCAATAACCTGTTTCTTTTCCTACTGAATATAAAGTATGGAAATCTTTGGTTTAAGAATCAATTTAGAGAAATATTTTAATAAGTAAAATTCTTAAGAAGGAAAAAAGAATCCCGAGTTATTAGAAAAACCTGTCTACCATTTTCTCTTTTGCAACTCATAAAACATTCCCATTTGTTTCAATCGCTTTGTTTATTGGGTATTGTGCTTATAAAGCCGGGTTTTCCTAGGCGCGGAGAGAGGAACGCGGAGAGCGGACTCCACTTGTCTTAGGCAATTTAATGTTACTGTTTTCCTAGAAGCGGAGCGGAATGCCATGTTAATTTCAATTCCGCTCTCCGCGTTCCTCTCTCCGCTCGCCGATTAGGCGCCTAGGAAAACCCAGCTTAAATCACCAACAACATCCCTGTTGTCTAGTGCATTAACCCTTTAAGCTCCCAAAGCTTTGAGATCAACGGGTTGAGTCTGTATCATTCTGGTCTGGAGTGCAATTACTCCAGACGAGACCTGACTGTGGAGGAGGCTCAACTAAAGTAAACAGTGGACAACTCGGAAAATTTAGCGGTACAGGGTGATTCTTTGTGAATTCCACCTCAAATTAGGCATTTTGCTTCTTTGTTCTTATTCTTACTGTGCATTTACATCAAAACGTGTTAAACCCTACGAGGGTTAAAATCGAGGGACACACACAATAAAATGAATTTGGAGGATTCACACAATAAACAGTGTAACTAAACAAACTTATTTATTTTTGATGAGAAACTGAATAGACAACACATGAACGGATGAATCAAACTGATTCTTTTCAACAGCATAAAATCCACAAAGCCCTTACTCTAAGGAGACCTGCTCCTCGGTGACTTACAAAAGTACTGTACAACATGTGTTTACACTATCAGTCACTCTAAGTACTCTAACTGTGAAAGCTCAAATAGTAAGCGCTAGCAGGTGAAAGCACGTCGATACGCACTGGTGACAGTGCATTTGTTTGTAGCCCTAAAGTACTATAATAATATTCAAGTGAATTTAATACAATGTAATTGAATTCAACTGCAAACCCATTCAAGAGTAAATTATTTTATAATTTTAAGTTGAAATTTAAGATGAGAAATATAAATAACTTGGTTGTTTTTCGTTATGGGTGATAGCAGGCTTACCTGGATTAAAAGATCTACTCTGGCACAAAAAACACAGAAACATTATACATTCTGTATACACAAAAATAAGAATGTTTCAATATCAAGAGTATTTTTGACCAAGGAAAGAAGGTTTAAGTGTCAGAAATGTTTAAGTACAAAGTAAAGGTTTTGTGTTTCTAATAACATTGACTATTGGATTATATTGCATTAAGAGTCAAAGTTTCTATTCAGGTAAGTCTGCTACCCCAAGAAAAACTTCTTTTACTTCAGAGCAAACCAAGCACTTTATGTCTTGTTACCAAGAAGCTCATTGGAATCAGATTACCTGTTTTTAACAGTTTGATATACCGGTATTTATGTTTTATTGTTTTTATTTTAACTGCATGAATAAGTAAACACACAGCTAGGAAATAGGAATACAAAAAAATCATCCAATAATAAATTGTAAGATGAATTATAAAATTCTATAGGCCTACACCATGAAAACTAAATAGTTTTTATAAACTTTAAAGGCAAATGTTTATTAAAACTTACTATTTTCATATGTACACATCTTAATAAATCACTAAACCTTATGATAGAGGGTCATTAAAGTTACAGTATGTGATCTTTAGTTCTGGTAAAGACAAAATTAAATTCATTCTTTTCAGTCACATGAGTGGTTCGATTATTAGTTATCAACCAACAATTGTGTGTTTATGGCAAACAAGAGCATGACGAATTTACAAAAACACTTGCAAAATGTAAAAAAGCAGCTTAAACCAATAATCTGTAAACCAGTATTGTACTGAGAAGCGATCGAGAATTTGACATTTTGATTTGTTTGAAACTGGTAAAACTGCTAGACAAAACATGACAGATGTCACAGTTTATTTTTTACATAATGCATAAAATAACACCCAAAATCCTAAATTCATAGTATAGATTATAGGCAATTTAGATAAGGCCAGAAAAGCCTACTCAAATAAAAATAGTTACAAGCCTTTAATTGTACAAATTTTATGTAAAAAAACTTAACAGTCGACGGATTTCTTTGGGTTTTTTAACTTATGCTCCTCTTTAGATTAGATTAATAAAACGGTTGCATACACAAATATTTAGAAACAAAAGTGAATAAGATGACAGCTTTGTTACTGACTAACATCAGCTGATACTTCAACTAGGACTATTTACTGAAAGCCCACTGGCTAAGGACAGCTGGGTTTAGTTTTTAACCATCAAAACGCTACAGACTTTTCTCATGATTGAGCTGAAGACCTATCGGTGGGGCACACGGAAGATTTCTCAGGTGCCGTTTGACGTCACTAATTGCTGACGTCACTTAACTGCTGAGTCTGAAGAAACAGACAATTTTATATTTTTCTATTATTAAATTAAACTGTCATAACCTAACCAAACTAACCAAACGTGCTGATAATGAAAAAAATCGAATGAAGGTTTACTAATCTAAAAAGTAGTTTTGTTCATAAAATAAAATAATCCTAAAATTCAATTTTATAATTTTTTAATTATAAAATTAAACTATCATAACCTAACCAAACCAACCAAACTTGCTGATATGAAAAAAAATTGTTGACAAAAAGTTAGTGCTATCAGCGGGATTCGAACCCGGTACATTCGGATTATTAGCTAGACACGCTATCCACTACACCACTGAGGCCGTTGGCTCGAAACCATATCGTTGCGGTAATGGTGTTCCCTCAAAGTGACGTCAGCAGTTAGTGACGTCAAACGGCACCTGAGAAATCTTCCGTGTGCCGTTTTGAAGACCTATTACTTTCCGAGTTTGTCTAGGCCTTTCTAATGTTTCATTTTCAAGTTTAGGGCATAACTCGAGCATTTTGAATAAATTACTCCAAAAGGAATCATCCCAAAGTTTTTCGAAATCAAACTCATTTTTACCACATAGTTTTCATACAGTTATTGTTATTAAGAATGCTAATCACATACTCTTTTTATTGACCCTATATTGTTGGTTAATCCTAAAAGTAGTATTGGTAAGCACATTTCCATCATTCTAATGACTAATATCACAAAAATTACAAATAATCTTTTGCCTTAAATACTTTAAATGCTTCCACAAACTTTCATATAAAATAACAGCAAATATTATTTAACTTTTAAAGATTATTAAAAAATACACTTAGATTATAAGAATAAATGTATTGTTTGATTACACTAAGGTCCTGATAGTTAACAGGCTGGTAACAATATTTTTATCGTTCGGCCGCTTAGAAAGCGACCTCCTCCAGCATTGGCTTAGCATTAGCGCGCAGGTCGTTTTCTAATTGGCCGAACTATAGAGGCTACATTGAGGACTCATTACCTTTGACTAGATTCTCAACTGCGGAGTAAAGATTATTTTCACATAATGTCTTAGCCAGTTTTAGAGTAGACTATAGAAATAACCAAGTTTTATTGAGCCACTGACATAGTTTTACAATACCATTTTCTTTTTTATACACAAAACTATTAAAATGTGCCAAAGAGAAGTTTAAACATTTTGCAAACCATAGGACCAATTATGAATATGACCTTGCAACAATTATAAGTATAAGAAAATGACTCACTACTATCCTCTCTCAGTAACATGACACAAAACCTGGTCAAAATAAATGGGATATCTTCTTTGTTATCCAAAGTCATGTTGTGACACATCCTTATACTATGATCAGCCACGGTTTGCAAAGAATATTAGAGTCCAAAGCACATTTTAGAAGACAAAACATAGCCTAAAGCACAAAATTATCACAATCATTAAATATGAATGCTACATATATTTTTCTTCTATGCAACTGTATACAGTACGCAAGTTAGATTGATGGATTGATTTTAAAGTATTTGTTTGTTATTACTGCAGCAAAATCAGCATTTTGAAGCATTTTTCCGCATGAGTTGTAGACCAAATATCCTATGGTTTTTTTCCATATCCTAGATGAAGGTCAAGGAGATGAAATGTACATTTTTTTACATTGCTGATTTTGCTGAAGAAAACAGTTCAGATTAATAAATATGAAACTGTAAAGTTATTTAATTTTAATTGTGGTTATCATTATGTGACACATACAAGGGCTGTTCATAAATTAAAGTCTCCATTGGCTCCCTGCCCTAGCTTAGAGAGCTAGTTAAAATCTCAAACCAACCTTGTGTTCCTTACTGCACCCACTACTATTCTAGATGGTTCCCACAAGGATGGACAATTGAATGGCTCCCCGGAAAAACGTTCCAAGCGCCAGAATTAGAGTTTGCAGGTTTTTGATAGAAAAACGTTCCTTGTGCTTTTGTCCATCGAGTGGCGACATCTTTTGGCCGATTTTATAACTAAAACATTGAATTATGGGTAGGGGAATTTGGCACTCCCTGGAAGAACGTTCCTTGTACAGCTATTGGGCGGACAAGACCATGTCTTCACCGGTGTCAGGCCTTATTAAACAATTAAATAGAGGCAAAAAACTAAAGTTAAACATAGATTTTTGGAAGAAGAAAGTTAAGAAGAGTCATAGAAATAGCGGGAAAGAGTAAAAAAACTACAAAAATGAAGTAGTGCCTGAAAAATTACCTGTTTCTGAAGTAATTGGAAAAACGTTACTTGTGCGACAGTGCACACTACAGTTGAACACTATAACGTTTGTGATCCAGAATATTTACCAGGACATAGGAATTTAATTTCCATTTCTAAATACTTATTATTAGTAAATTACAACCTAGCTGTTGTCAATTTACTGTTTACTGTCTTATATGTTATTTTTGTTAGGTGAATGGGCTGATTTATTTAAGGATTTCTCATGTTCCTGCACACACAAGGGCTGCAAGACTATACCTTACAAGACTATACCTTTTGTGACTGACTATACTGTTGACTATACTGTACCAAGATAATACGTTTTTTTACAAGATTTTGTGTGATCTTTTAGTTAAGTGAAGTGCAATATTGAAAAAATTAAAAGTCCCAAGCACACAAATAATATCAGCGTAATACAAAGGCTAGGGGTTATGTACGTTTCATTAACAAGATATTGTGTATTCGTTTATTAAAATAAGATTCAATATTGTAAAAAAAATCTTTCACTTGCAGTTTGAGAATTTCTGTACCTAAGCAATAAAAATCTATATAATTAATACGCTACATGAAACTTTGTCGGTTGAACTCCTCCGCCATTTCTTAACCGATTTTATCCATTGACGTCTCATTGGAAAGAGCGTGTCGCGTAGATTTGCAAACTGGCCTTACATTTTTGAAAAAGTCCCTTGGCCTCTGCCCCATTGGCTTTGAAGGTTCCCATGTAATCCTTATGGAGAACATAATTGTTTACATTTTGATCAGCTGTATAATTTAATTGCTGTTATTTTTCAATTCAATGAAACGCATTGAGTACATTTATTTACTATTTGAGTTTGTGTAAACATAACCCCCAAGACGGATTGTGTTATTATGGTTGTATCTTAAAGTTGTGTATTTATCGTTGTTTTGTGTCGCTATGAAGGATCGTGTTAGTATGATTGTAACTTAAATTTGTGCATTTATCGTTGTTTTGTGTAGCTATAATTTGGTTATTTGTTGTTTTTTTTTTTTTTTTAAATGCCTCCAACGTGACGACAACGAAACATAGACAAGAGGCGTAATCGTGATAACAACCGCAGCTACAGAACAGTGGCGCGTAATAGGGCTGCACTTTACTTGACGTCCTACACTCATTCGATTGTTTTTTCGATTCAATATTTTCATTCGATTGTTTCATTCGATATATCGTTTGGTTAGTTAGGTTAGGTTAACCTTACCTAACTAACCAAACGATATATCGAATGAAGCAATCGATTAATCGATATATCGATCGATATTTTCATTCGAATGAGTGTAGGACGTCAAGTAAAGTGCAGCCCGTAATAGGCTTAACTCATCACAGTCAGCACCTGACCCTGGACAATCTCAACTATTAGATTACAAATGCACCCTAACACTACCCCAAAACGACTTTTCGTTCTCAATTGGCCCTCTATCAATGACCTGTGTTGCCTGTACAGCGAGGCATTTTGAGAAGGAGAAAACCGGCAGGAATGCTTTAGGTTTATCAATAACGAAGACAAAAATGGTCTGAGCTACACACCGGTATTCTTGAGTTGACTCTTTTAAATTAATGGTAAGTATGACTGTTATTCGTTTTAAAATAACTCCTGTAATACTTTGCAATTTATTGCTCGAATTCGAGCAACATGTACACTAGTTTATTTTATTTTTCAATCCAATGAAACGCATTGAGTACATTTATTTACTATACAGTATTTGAGTTTGTGTAAACATAACCCCCAAGACGGATCGTGTTAGTAAGGTTGTATCTCAAATTTGTGCATTTATCGTTGTTTTGTGTAGCTATAATGTGTTTAATTGTTGTTTTTTTTCTTTTAAATGCCTACGACGTGAAGACAACGAAACATAGATAGGAGGCGTAATCGTGATAACGACCGTAGCTACAGAACGGCGCGTAATAGGCTTAACTCATCAAGTCAGCACCTGACCCTGGACAATCTCAACTATTAAGTTATAAATGCGCCCTAACACTACCCCAAAACGACTTTTTGTTCTCAATTGGCCCTCTATCAATGACCTGTGTTGCCTGTAGGCCTACAGCGAGGCATTTTGAGAAGGAGAAAACCGGCCGGAATGCTTTAGGTTTATCAATAACGAAGATAAACATGGTCTGTGTTACACACCAACCGGTAATGTTTGAGTTGACTCTTTTGAACTCATTGTAAATATGACTGTTATTCGTTTCGAAATAACTCCTGTAATACTTTGCAATTGCTCGAATTCGAGCAACGTGTACACTAGTAATGAATTATTGCAGCTATTAAAACTTTATTCTTTACAAAACGTTCCAAATGCCAGTATTGTAGAGTGCTATGTTTCAGTAGAAAAACGTTGCTTGTGCATATCAACTATGCCCAAGTAACGTTTTTCCACTACATTTACACTTAAAATGTCAAAAGCTTAATAATTTGGATTTTTACTTGAAAGAAATCCTTATAACATTGTTTTGACTAGACCTATCAAGCAGAATCTAAAAAAATCCAAAAATAATCTTTAAAAAATTACTCTCTTAACGTTTTTTTTAGTTTCTGTAAAGTTTACAAAACGGCGCATGGAACGTTTTTCCAGGGAGCCATTCAATTAGTCTCGTTTATGTCATTGTATTTAAAGCTATTTTGAATGAAAATTGTACACTCTCCAAGTATAAATCGAGATATATGATTGGATTTCAGTGGTCTTAGTCGTCAACTGCAATTGAAGTTTATCACCAGTTGACGGGATTAAATAAAGTGTTTGGACATAGAAAATGTTTGAAAAGAGTGAAGATAGTTAGGAGGTGATCTTCACTTGCACGATGTTTTTCCATGGTGTAGGTCGACTGATGTTCATAGGTCTAAGGCAGTGACCACTGACAGGGGAAAATATGGATGCAGACCATTTTGTGAACGAACAAGGACATATTCAAACTAATTTGGGATTGGGACGTCTCTATATCACTATCAAGGACCAAAAGTCTGAAAAACGCCGATCAGCAAGCAAATTTTCCTCAAATACAATCACTCTCAATGAAAACTAATGAACACCCACTGCCGACCTGCTGTTCAAATAAGTACGGGCGTCAAGAAACTCTCAAAGCCACTAATGCACATTTCTTGTCAAAACAATTTCTGCATATCTGTAAACTGACAACAGTAATCAACAGTGATTCATCCTCTTCTTACAAAGACTAAATCACAGAACGTGATTATAACCTTATACTGCTTGGCAGGAGTGTCAAATCTCTGAATGCTTTTGAATGACGAGACTTATCATCCCATTAGGGAGGGGGCGAGCCTGCTAGAATAGTATGGGATAATGTAAGTTACAAGGGTTTGGTCTCATATTGGAACTAGTTTGCTCAGCTACGACGAGAAATCAAAAGGGGCCTTAATTTAAGCATATTTTGCTACAGTAAATACCCAATCATCAATAGGTATCTATTTAAGCTTACTGATTCACATTTCATTGCTTTGGTATTTCATACGGAGTAGTATATCTTGCATATAAGTTCTAAACTACTTATGGAACATGACCTTCATACCTCTTACCTTGCAGCTCACTAAGATAGCACTGTACGCTTGTAGAATTATAAAAACAGATTTGATTTATTGAGTAGCTTACTGGTAACTGTCAATCGTCTGATGACGATCGAGGTATAAAATAGGCTGAAGTATTTACAAGGGTGAAGTTTAATTAGGCAGATGAAAGGCGAGCAATATCATACAACCCAACTGTGTACAACTCCTGAAACAGAGATAAGAATAAACATAGAACAAAAAAGTCATTCTGGTGAGACATAATAATGAAGTGAAGGGAACGGAACGATGTCATTATTCATTATTCACTTTGGATCCATGTTGGAGCTTTGAGTAAGCATCCATCTGACGCCTCTCCCTTTTGTATTGTATCTCTCTTGTCCTATGGCCTTTTGGCTCTTGGTCTTAAACTTTGACATGCCATCCCCATATGTTGTCGCCAGTTTTTTTTTTCAATTAAGATCTTGGTAGTTGTTGTGAGCCACCGACATATTGTGCTGATCTAAATTACTGATTTCTGTTGAATACACAATTTTTTTTTATCAAGTGAGACTGATAGAACGACTTATTGTGAGCTATAGCAACTGTTATGACCCATCAACTATGTCAGCAACAAAAAGGTAGAACATATAATTTTAGACACTAGCACACTACTATCTTCTTTTTTAATACAAATTGGCGACAGCTGGTCCATATAGATGGGATGTCTACTTCAGTGTCCAATATACAATAGTTGATTAATTTGGTTATTTTTGTCTGATTCTTATCTTTACACTAATGCTTTCATCAAGTTCTCAACTTGATCCTATGTTGAACACTCTAAAAGCCTGCCTCACTTTGTGACTTCCAAATTCGTGATATATTTCATATGTAGCTGATAAACGTGAAAACGATTATTTCTCATTATATCACTATTGTTTTCATTGCATGTGTGATCTCTTCGAGGCTTCTTAGTAAAATTACAAATGCTAATGAACGTACTATGCAGACACAAAATCTCTTCTTTACATTTTAAACAAATTACGTTACAATATTTTACTCAAATTCCCTAAAACATCAATAAAACATACTATGAAAATACAAAATTTTAAATAAGTTATTTCCTTCTTCACATTTTATACAAATAGCACTACAATATTTTATTTGAATTCACTGAAACATCATCAACTACTCAGATAACCACATTTTTGTATGGATGTAAACAAAATTGTATTATGATTATGGCCATCTGTTTTTATGTAAACTTGAAACAGTTCCGATGATTGACAACAGAATTCAGCACAAACTCTGAAGCCTGTGGGAAGGGGGAATGTTTGTTTGGTGATTGATATATCATCTCAAGTGTCAAAACACTGTCTTCAGTTGATGTTCATTATCTCAGGACCAACTAGAAACAAGTTTTTTGTTAATCCTGCATTATCTGATAAGTTTTAAGTAATTTGTTTCTGTTTTAGTAATGTAAAATGTGACAATGTTTGATTAAAACACAAGTACCAGGGGACCGAGCTCGCTCGAAGTGTTTGATTTGTTCAAGACGTTAAAAATAGAGCTTATAAGTCTACAAATATTTTCAGTCTTACTACGATTAATTAAGTTGTAAAGTCAATTCGTTTTCGGTAGACATCCACTCATCCTTAAATTACCTTACAAAATTTTTCATGTGGACGAGCAATCTATAACATGTCTACAATAAGCTTAATATAAAACTCATGATACATAACATCTGTTGTCTGTTGACTGTTATTGCATTAAGTCACTGGGATCGCGGAATGTCGCAATGCAACTATAGTTACGGGATGGTGTAATAACGCATCAATTCGTGAGGTGCATCGTCGAAAACTAAAAAAACGTCCTTGGCCTTTCCTTTAGATTTTTAGTTCGATATCAGTATATAATGTTTTGCGGTAAAACACTTAAGATTTTGGACAGTCGTAATCATCCCTTTAGTTAGTAATACATCATACAATTCAAATGTATTATACAAGCAATTCTCAATAGCATTGCAATTGGAGGAAATCGTAGGAGCCGTTGTTTTAATCATTGTGCACAAATTTTACTCTTATTATTGTATAGATTAGTAACAAAGATGTGTCATTACGAAATCTTTTAAAACAACTGCCCAACAAACAGTTAACTTCTACGAAAACTAACTTTGTTTTCTATCAGTTAGTTTTTCATCTAACTAATAACTTATATCAGTTAGTTTTTCAACTAACTAATAACTTCTATCAGTTACTTTTTAAACTAACTAAATAATAACTTAAATCATTTACTTTTTACGGGACTAACTTATAACTTCTAACTAGTTAGAATTTTTTACTAACTTTCCCAACTATGTGATACTTACGTCTGTATGGTGAAGAAGGAACATTATGATGAGTCACATGGATGTGGATGTTTTGAGTCTCTGATCCTGAGTAACAAACACCAGTCAGTTTAGGTTTCTTACTCAATATACATAGATTGTGTACAAACTATTCTATTCATTGATCATATTTCAGTACAGATCTTAAACAAAATCAGTCTGAAATATGCAATGAGTACAATTTATAAGGAAAGCTACAAGTGAAATGGTGCAAACTTACCTTTGTAAATACATTGATCAAGTTTGCAATAACGGCCCTGAATATATAGGAAACTTAAACATACTGATGTTAATTTGACTACATTTGATAAGAACTTTTCCCTCTGTCAATGAAAAAAATTAACATTTTTTAACAAAAACTTCAAAAATCTATGTAACATATTTTTTGTAGTTTTGACCTTTGTTTGAGTTCTCTCAAACTTTCCCATTAGGATTTTGAGTATATTTACTTTTGATGTCATATAAATTTATCATGATAGGGACCCAATGCAAAAAGGGAGGCCAAACTGGTTATGACCATTAGAACAAATCAAATATATCACACATGTCCTTCCTATTTGATCTTTTGCTTGTCCAACATTCTGCAACCTGTGTAGGTTAGATAATATTAACACTAATATTAAAGTGCAATTATACTTTTTATCATACTGCTGCAAAAACAGTAGTTTTTAATACATGTGTCTAAAGTAACTCTTTTACAGCCTTTTTAGTCTTTTAGGGAGTCAGTTGTTGTAAACTTTGTATGTATCAATTGATTTAATTGGTTATAGCTTATTGTTGCAGTCTTGTTAATAGTGCTACATGTCGATAGTATAATGTACACCAACACAATCGTAATAGTCACAATCATTGAACCACTTATAGCCGCTTGCATTAACAAAATTGGAAACAATTTGGAAGTCGTTTTAAGAGATTATTTGTACATGAAAAGTATCTTTGTTTTCTAACTTAGTTAGCTGAAACAATAATTTGTGCAATATGATGTAAAATATAGTTCATCACACGGGCAAAAAGTGCCTTTTCAACAATCGCTCATTTCCCAATCTCTGCTTTGCCTCGGGTCATTATATTAACATGATTAAACTATTACATTTGTATTCACTATTCAGTATCTTGTACTGATGTGCTTTCTAATAATAATCCCTATTTTAAAATGAATCTATCAATCTGTTGTTAATAATGTAATAAAGCATATGTAAAACACTAAATATGACTAAAGAATGGAGAAAACTTACACAGCAGTAGAATTAATAATCACCTTCAACTAAGAAAGGCAAATAAAAAATGCATTCTAAAACATAAAAAGTTTATTAACACAAAATACAAAACAAAACTAAGACAGAGAATAGAAATAAATAGAACACAAGACATAAACAAAACCATGCTATGGTGCAAAGCAAATGCTGAAAAATTTCAAACTTCAATTTTAAAATTGATACTATTCCATGCGGTTAAGAAAATTATTGCGAATCAAATATATGGTTTAACAATTAAACTTAAGATTAAACAATGTTAATGTAGAAAATACAGAATTCAGTAAAAATATGTTCAAAATATTATCAAACAAATAATTTTCAGTGTTTGAGAATCAAAACACAATGTACATAGGCTAGTATATAGATAAGATATAGGCTTTGTATGTAAATAAAGAGATTGATACCTTATCACATTGATCACATTAACCCTTTGAACTCCGGAGATTATTTAGTCATTTAATAAGTTTTTTGGTAGACCATAAACAAACAAACTATTTCCCCTGTAACCTTTGTAACAAAACCATAAATAAAGTAAAATGTTTTTTAGGCTCTACATGATGGCTGTAATGAAAACTGTGTATTTCCATGTTTTAGGTGTAAAAGTTTGAACAAATCAATTTATTAACATTTTAAAACCCCATAATACCCTGTTTCTATGACCTGATTTTGCTGGTTTGTGAACTCATTCAAGTTTATCCCGCCCTAAACCTTCAAGCCAAATTTTATCAAAATCGGAACAAAATTCCTCGTGTAATCATGTTTAAGGACAAATGTATATATAGTATATAAAATAAATAAATACAAATATTTGGGCGAATAGTGATTTTGTCCTAAACAAAATGAAAAAGTAAATTGATCTTGTGTCTAGGTCTTACCGTGACACAACACACGTAATATGTAAAGTGGTGTGTCTATTGTACCAGTTCCTTAAAATTCAGCTGTCTTTGTTATATTTGCTTTGTTATGAATAGAATTGTGGTTAAGTTACTCTTGTGCCTGATAATTGCTTTTGGAGCCCAAAGGGTTAGAAGTTTCCTATTTTACATATACTATTTACATAAATTTACAATAAGATATTCTGTGTGATTTAACCCAACATGGTCAAAAAGTCTTTGTGAATAATTTCATTATTATTTACAAAACAATAATTAATTATTTACAGATTTTTTTGTTCTGTCAATACTATATTTTGTATGTGATAACAAACAATTAAATATTATATATTTTTGAATAGGCACATTTTACGTATGACAAATTTAATAAAATAATCTTTTGTGGGAATTAAACTGGTATACTGAAATGTAATTGTTACTCGATTTACAATCATGGAACTTCAGTTAAGATAGATAGTTTAATAGGACAATATTATGTATAAAATCTATGAGTCTTTTAGGTAACTATACAACATGTAACCAAGCAAGAAATGAAGAAAGTTAAATTCTCTCCCTTAGGGTTTATTACTGTGATAGTTAATGTGCAATATAAAAGGATACAGTTAAGTAGTCCTTTCAACTTGATGTAAGATTAAATTAATGAATGAATTCCGTCAGGCGTAATGATGTTTGTTAAGGACATGTTTTGTAATTGGAATACAATCGTCAGCTTCAGGCTAGTGAGGTTCTTCAGTTGAAAACGTCGGCAAAAGTGGATAACAACATTACAAACACGAAAATGGGGAAAAATTGAAATACATAACATGTAATAACGGATCTATGGTGACAAATAACCAACAAGTTCAAGGGCTAAAAACACGAATGTCAAATGCTGTCACCTTTGCCTGGAAAAAGTTGGTTGTTCGACTGTAACTATTTAATTTACATCAGCACACTTTTTTATGTGTTTTTGCCAGTCAAGGCACTGGTCTTGTTACTAACGCCACCTTTTGTTAGATAGCATCGTTGATTAATAGCCCAATTACAAATGGCGTCTGGTTGAAAAACGATGTCGCTTGAAATAAAACCAGTGACCTCTAGATTTGGAAGGCAAGCACTATAACTGCTCGGCTATCAAGAAAATCACATATACAAACTCTGTTGGTGGCTGAATCTATCTAAGTTCATTTTTATTTCAAAACTGTGTTCAACTTTAACGTATGAATATGAGGGATCTATTTTTAGTCTGTTACATATCAGGTACGTGTTACAAACGCACACACACACAGTGTCATGCAGTAGACAGAGGTAAGGGCGGCGCAGGAGCCAGGCTACCTGTGATGATTCTTGGCATGTCACACTGCTCGCACTTGTTAAGTGCCGGATGATTGTGGAATGTACAAACGTGACAAGTCCAGTGACGGCCTTCCCCCACCACTGTGACAGCCGGGGCAGTCGTCGGCCCTGCAACAAACATACACTCAACTAGGACCACTACTAGGAACTAGGAGGCATGAGATTGTGAGGTTTCAGTTGGTGGTAAGCCCAATGGGGATGTTCAATGAACTTCTTGGTCCTTTTCCATTTTCTTATATTTTTAATAGTGAGTAGTTGAACCCTGACTCGAATTATCTATTAGATTGTCTTACTACAGATCATTATACTTTTTGTAAACTAGTTAAAAACATATTTGTGTTTAATTATTTACTCTAAGATTAATATTGTGATTGTGATTTCCTTGTTGTAATTTTTTTTTAGCTAAAGAATTTTTTTTTTTCTGTTTCTTTTGCCATTGTAAAGTACATAGGAAATAAGTTCATTTTGTTATTTTCTCTGTTATCCAATCTGCCAGCTTATCTGAACTTGCCAAAGCTGGTTTTGGTTGGATAATTAAGACTCTATGGTATATTGTGTGACAGAAAATCATGCATCAGTCATATGTAATTGTAAATTATGAAATAAGACTCACTCTGGCGAACTGCTTGTCTAGGGAACAGCTGGCCTCTGTAAATGTTCTTGTAAAACTCTTCGTTGGTTTCTCCAAGAGGTACTGAAAAATAATCAACAAAATTGGAGATCAATAGCTACTAATTACCTGTCAGTCAATAGTCTAAGTCAACTCAGTTTTAAATGTTGATTTTAAACAATCACACTTATCGAAAGTATTTTTTGATGGTTTAATTGATTGTAGCTTATTGTAAATAGTTACATTTTTTTTCAAAATTAACTTATCACACACTTTAAAAAAAAAGTTCTATATTTCGGCATTAGCCTTCTTCAGGAACAAACAAACATTACAGTCCAACCTCAGTATAACGAATCTGAAGGGACCGAACTGAATATTCGTTATATCAAGGATTTTGTTAAAACGAGGTTCGTTATATAGAGGTTAGGTTTGCAGGAATTTCGCTAAGTCGAGGTTCAGAACCAGCGTCGGTCAATATAGGTCGGGATTTTACCTCATTAAAATACAATTAAAGTAGCATAGGCTACGCTACAATACTTTACAGTACAGTGTTTACATTGTACAGTAGAACCTAAATTATCCGGAAAAATAAAGGGGAGGGATCTTGAATATTGCGCAATCATAACAATGGCATTGACCTTGGTACAGGTTAAAAACTGTAAGTTTAAAATCACAGCTTGTTCTAACCCTCCTAAAACCTAGCCAAACACTGTATTGCGTAGTCATAAACCATGTAAAGAACAAAACAAAACAGTAGAAAGTTGTAAGCTACTGCTCGTGATAGGCCGGTAGGCTACTTACTGTACCAGTACTGATTTATCACAACAGAGGAATGTCAATAATAATCATTAACTACAGCAGTGGTGTTGCTAGTTGAAACAAATCGTATTGAAAACAATAAATTATTAGATAAGTCATTATAAAAGTGTATAATCATAGCCAACTTAAGGATCGACCAATGTAAATATTTAGCCTAATTTGACAATGCCTATCTCAATGTATTTGATCAACGGCAATAAAGATTCTGTTTCTGATTCTTATAATAAAAACACTCGTAAAAGGAATGTTAAGATAACGATGTTGCTATTCTTTCTCTTTGGTTTTGTTTTTATATTCTTTCTTAGTTTTCTCTTCATCCAAAAATTGTACAATTCACCATAGTTATCCCATATCGCCCAATCACAGCTTACTAAACATTACGTCGTCATCAGTCCTCAGTGAATGAAATCAGTTCAGTTCTCAGTTGCAACATAGCGCGCGCAGCGACAGCAGACAAAAAAGTAAAACGGAGCAGACGAATGTTAGCGCAAGAGATGACGTGACCTTCCCATTTCATTTGATAAAGAAACAGATTTTCCCAAAACAATAATTGGGTGGGGGATTTGTTATATCGAGGGAAAGACGTAGACAATTCGTTATGCAGAGGTTAAATTCGCAATGTAGAGGTTCTGACAATGATAAATTCGTTATATTGAGGTTTCTTATTTTAGCCGAAATCACAAAAAATTCGTTAAATCAAGGTCGTCGTTATGGTTTGTTCGTTATGTAGAGGTAAAATATACATTGTATCTTATGGAGAGTTATAGGGGATTATAAAAAATTCGTTATATCAAGGAATTCGTTATATCGAGGTTCGTTATATCAAGGTTAGACTGTATTAGGTTTGTTTGTTCCTGAAGAAGGCTAATGCCGAAATATAGAACTTTTTTTTAAAAGTGTGTGATAAGTTTATTTTGGAAAATGATTTAGCCGTTTGGCAATATTATGAAGAAAATGTAAATAGTTTAACATATCGATAGTATAATGTACACTAACATAATCGTAATAGACGAAACGATTTAATCACGTACTAAACAGCTGCTTGTTTCCGTTAGCAAATTAAACTGAAAGAAGTAGTTTTGCGAGGATATCTTTAAAAGTTTTTTATTTTAGTTTTGTAACATAGTTTGTTCAAATAGTGGTGCAATATGAAAAAAAAGTTCATCACACAGGTAAAAAGTGTCTTTTTAACCCTCGCTCATTTTCCGACCTCAGCTTTGCCTTGATCGTAAAACTTGAGCTCGGGTAAAAGAAGAGTCACTTTATGCTCTAATGATGAAATTCACAATTAAATTATCTGTTCAATAATAGGCCTATTTTTATTTATTAATAAATTATAGATCTTCCAAATATTTATTACAACAGATCATCTAGTAACAAATGTATAAATGAAGTAGGTCTATAGATGAGCATTGAATGTTGTGTCAATACCTAATAATAGCTATGGTTTTGGTTTTCAGCAAACCAGCAAATTGAAAAATATGAAAAGTATATTTTTTGTAAAATTTCTATAGTTGGAAAAATTAACTGTTTCAGTTTTTAAATTTTTTTATAGAGATTTAGATTAGTCATTCAAGTTGCCATCTTAATAAAATTTCCAACACTAATATAATTATTTTTAAGATTAAAGATAATTTAGTGACTCCTTAAAGCTAGAAAGTACTAATTTATAAAATAATGATGTATAGTTTGTATCAATCAGGGTGGTGAGCAGGATGTACACATTCCAGAACCCTTCCATGACGACCCTCCCTTTTGTTCAGTCATCTCAACAATTTATTGCCGTTGGTTTAATCTAACACCACTAGCATCGTCTAGGAGTGTGAATCTCAGCGTTCTTAAGAGTTCTCCGTTCCCTCATCCACCCCACACACCATCTTTATAGACATAATTTATAATTATAGAAGTTTTCATGTCTGTTGTGGTCACTGTATACTCACAAGTTTCAGTGTTGACGTGCCTGAGCTCTGCATTGTGGTAAACCTCCTTTGTCATCCGGTTACATTCCATCTGCAGGAGGCTGATCTCTTCTTTCAGCTTCTTCACCTGCACCAAGAGATATAAAAGCTGGCATTTGAATACTAAATTAGAACCTCAAGGCAAATCATATTGGCCCCGTTGGTTATGGTGCTCGCCCTTAATTCTGAAAATTTCAGATTCGTTTCTAAACCTGATGGGGCCTATCAATTAATAATAGTATATTAGAACAAATGGTTGGCATGGTCTCCAATGTCATCTAACACAAAACCTTCATTTCTATAACATGTTTAAATTTATTTATTTATTTATAAACAATTTACAATAGCTACAGGTATATAACCCAAAACAACTATAATAAAAAATAATACAATATTTTTCTAAAGATGTTCAATAGAATACATGAATTAAATATCAAAGATATCTTTATAGACATTGTGGTCTACAGTCACAGCATAGTTAAGGAGGAGAATAATGCATTTCTGTGATTAATTAAGACTAAATTAGCTTACAATATAAAATAATGTATTCAGTTAGCTCTAGTCAAATAACATTTTAAAATAAGATTTGTCTGCAACAAGTTAGAATGAAAAACAGCACTAGCGAGCAGTAAACTTAAAATGTTAGTGAATTATACTATACAACCAAAGTTGTAACACAACTCTAAACTTAATAATTGTTCAAAATAGAATCTTTTATTACTGCAACTGCAGTAAAACTGATGTCGAGTCAAACATTGCAGTAACTGTGGTCAACTTTAGGGCGGCCGTCGGAGGTAAAACTCCGTGAAGGCATTATATATTAGCAAGTTGCAGGGCCAACTGCCAGTTTTGAACTTACATTCATAAATATAACTCAGAAATGCTCTATGTTACTTGTTGCAAATAATTTATGTCATTTGTAGTTGTGAAAGACCATGAAAATAATAAAGAAAACAGTAAGCGAATTGTGAGAATCACTTAGAAAATTTGTTATTTAGATGATTGTTTATGATGAAGAAAACATAAAAATTACAACAAAAAGCTATGGAAAAGGCAGTAAAGGCTGGAATAAGAAAATAAACACAAAATAAATAAGGTAAATGATCAATTATGAGGTACAATTGCCTTGAAAATAATATAAAGACTTTTTTGTTAGTTTCAATAACAGTAAAATTTATTTCTTATAGGATCCACCTCTTTTGAGGGAACTTGGCCTAAATCCTTCAAATTTTTCTGTATATGCCAGGTATCAAACTTGTTTACATAACAATTTGAGACCTTAACTAATAGGCTTGCAACACATCCCAAACCTAAACCCTCTGTCTAAGGCTTTCTGTACTTACGCAGTGTCATGGACATTAATGGAAGAACAGACATTACAATGGACATGGACATAAGAATGTTGTATGTAAAACACAGTATGGAGAAATGCCAGTTTTACTAAGTGCATAGACAATCTTACTACCTTACTAATATTATAATAACTTCTTCTTCTTGATCAGCATTGTATGTGTTATTGAATCACGGAAAGTAAATGAAAAAAGTCTTACAATACTTAAAACATATTTTTACGCTTATACTGTTACTCACAAGACAGTAAATATACAAAAAAGATGGTAAGTGGTGATCGATTTTGATTCTAATCATCATCAGACTCAATAGGAAAATGACAAGAATCTTGAATGACATCCCTACTTATATCCTATTGGCTACCGGAAGCACCGGCCAATACATTTTTATAAGTACAACTGTATTCGAAATTTACTTGTTCATTAATCAGCTTATTTCTATTTTTAAATTTTCCCTTATAAATATACAATTACAATTCTTCCCAAGCATTCAATACATATCCTTTCTTACAATTCTTTAAAATACATAGCCTATCCTCCATTTTTTCTATTGAGTGGCTATTTTGTAACAGGTAATGTGCGACATTTGATCTTTCCGGTTTGTTGTTCCTCCATGCAGATAGCCTATGTGGTTTTTGAAGCAGTTAACGAAGTTCACAGTCTGTTTGATAAAGTATTATTACATATTTATATGTAAACATAAAAACCTTTATCAAAGTATTATAAACAATAAAAGGGATGGCAACGCCTTAATATTTTTATCTTTTGTTCTATACCCATACTATGTAAGATAAATTATTAAGTTAATAATATCCGTGCGTGCTATCTCAGGTATTCAAATGCCTCCCAATTTGTCATTAACCCACCACATTACTGTCATTAAAAGAAAGAACTCCAATAATACTAATGTGTAACTTAAATCCACCCAAGCTGTGCAACAAACCAGACTGACGATTAAAAAGATGGCACTTAACTTGATTGAAGCAACAATCATCAGTGGTAAGTTTAAAGGAGAAATAGTCTTAACCCAGCAAATACAGATTATTTCATCCAATTACCCTATGAGTTCAAGCGACTACAATTAATTTCCTTTGCGTGTTTTTGCGCAACCACCATTATAAGGCACAAGGGCAATTCTTGACGGTTTAAATTGAGAAAATGTATGATTTTCACACGGACAGCTGTATGTTTCGTGCTCACATGGTGGTAGGTACGCCTAAAAACTTACCAAGAAACAAATTAACAAATTAAGACCAAATTACCATTCAAAAATAGTTGTTAAGAGCAGCAACGCACGCCGGGTAACTGCTAGTATTCATTTAAAATAAGCAGTAGGCCTATGGTACAATTGAGATTTACTTCCTATAATCAATGAGGGGTGTATTTAAAAATTTCAACAGTTTTTAACAGTAGAAAACAATTTTATCCGCATTATTATCCTCTGCATTCTCATCATGTTGCAAAGCATGGGCAGAGTATATTAGAAGTTTTTAATTGACTGCCTTACTCATCTCATAGTTTCCATTTCCTCACATTTCACAAAAAACATAAAGGCCACGTGAGTTCATTTTTAAAATAAAAAAATTACAACCTTGGACCCAGGCCAGGTCTAAAAGGAAGAAGGCATGACAGCAACAGCGCTAATTTGTTCTGCTAAGTGTTTACTTTAAAGTGGAAAGAAAGAAACCGCTTCTCACGGCTTGTACTGGCTTCGGCGGTGAAGTCTGCCAAAGTATTACGAAGTAACTGAATAACTTAGGCAACAATGCAACATAGTGTTGGGTCGGAGATTTGCAACGGTCGCTGCATTAGACGGCAGTGATATTAAATGTGTTGCATTCAATAACAAACCCCTTGGTGATATGTAACCAGTAGGGGGGAGAGAGGGGGGAAGGCTAAATCTGGTGCAACATGTTTCCAATGCACATTCCTGGCGCCCCCGAGTGGGCAGTGGGCCAAGTCACTCATTAATGGATGCGACACCACTCCGCTAATTATTGGTCAAAATACTTCCTGCTCAGTCTTGTCTCGGGTTAAAATTACACTTTCTATGGAAGAAGTAACAGGAAACATTGACTACAGAATTACTGAGTTATTTAATAAGAATAGTGTTAAGCAAATTTCCAAGTCTGTTGGGAACAGCAAAAAGGAAAATTAATTGAATTTTAAAATATTCAACTTGGACGTTGAGGAAGAAATCTTGTACAGTAAATGAATTATTTTTGTTCAGTATTATTTGTACTTTTTTTACTGAATGAGTGAGTCGAAGGGAATGGAAATAGTATAAGTAGATATCCTAATCAAGCACAAACAATAAAATACAAGAACAACAATCCGATTAAGATTATGGTGTTAAGATTCATGGAAGAATCTTTTTTTGCCTGTCACACATTATAGACATGTTTCAACCTTAAGTTAATGTTGATTACTATTGTAAACAAAAAGGTGTGGTAGGTTCATTGTTTATTCAATTTATTGTACTTAGATTAAGCCAATAGTGATACACTTGACAGCAACACAGCTATGATCTCAAATCAACAACAGCATACAAAAAGACATTCCAATTCATTTAAAATAGAAAAATGTACAGCTGGTATCCTCAAAGCTGATTATTTTCACTAAGAAACAAAAGAACTACTTTGGCCCTGCAACACAACTAAGGAAAACAGCCGTTTTTGAATCAATGAAACAGAGTGTGTTATAAATATTTTCACAGCTAGGGCCTACAATTTTCTCAAAAAACTAACAAACATTTGCGGCTTGTTAAGCACTTTGTAGGGATTTTAAAAGTGCTGCATCAGCGGTTGAAAGTGTTATAAACATCCACTTTTTCATTTGTTGAGTTTATTAATACTTAACCTTTTCAAACCAGACCATGTTTAAATAACTCAAACAGAATGGCATAAATTAGTGATGGCGTTGGCACAAACAAAATGGTTCTGGGAAGAAACGCCCACAATCCAACGTCGAGTGTTGGCAGCTCATTGACTGCAGGTTTTGCTCTACAACCTGTGTCTAGTAAAGGAGAGTGTTTTAAATAAATACCACTGGTGCAGCAAACCTGCACTGTATGAATTACCATTTGCCTGTTTAGATTTCTGCCAAAATAGTTCCTTGAACATGTTAGATTTCTTCTCTATTTAAATAAAATTTGGTTTGGCGGTTCAGTACAGGCAATGTGTTTTTACTTTCTCTCTCTCTACCATAGTATATGAAGAAAGTATTGTTTTCGTCAAAATTTTCGTTTGAGTTTTGGGTGGATATATCCCTTTTGGGTCCCCACTGAACCCAAAAAAGTCGCTTTCAAAGTGGTGTCCGTGCATGTGTGTGTCCGAGTGTCTCTGTATTTGTGTGAATGTGTGCAGAGCTACAGACCACATTTTAGTGAAATTTGGTATGTGGATACTAATCCATGGTCTCTAGGCGTTTTTTTTATGGGAACTTTCACATAAAACGCCGTAAAATAACATAAAGTTTTACGTTTTTGATTAAAATTGTGTATGTTATAGCTCTTGTAACTTTAAACAAAACAGTACAACCCAAATAGCTGTAATAATTAGGGTTGAAAAGTTATAGTAATTTATGTGATTCTCCTATAAAAACCTCAAATAAAAGCGGATAGTTTGATTTAAAAAAACCGCTTGAAGACTAATTTTTATTAAAACTTAGTATGTCTTTTCAATTTTTTGGGCATAATGAGCTGTTTTAACTTTTGTGATTTTCCACATTATCATAGTTACTCTCACCGCTTACTCATGGTACAGGTTGAGGACAAGTGAATGTGAGAAAGTATGTGTCAGATTGCTGACATTGTTTTTGTCATACACAGTGGTGGTCCCAGGATTTTATTTTGGGGGGGGGGTGGGGGGGACCACCTGCCTGAGGGATATTCTAGAAAAAAGGGGGGGTCCGGTGAAATGTGGAATTTAAAGCCTAAAAACATATTTTTATAGTTATTTGAGCTCTAAAATATGCTCAAGCTAATAAAATATTTAGGAGGGAATATATCTCTCCCATTCCTTCCCCCCCCCCCCTGGGACGGCCAATGCATAACATTTGAAAAATTACCAAATATTACACAAATATGATCCTTGTCCGTCATTCAGATTTTGTTAAATGCAATCTTCTCTTACTGAATTATTCTCTGTGTTTATGTGTTCTTATTATCAATGTTACCTTACTACTCACTCCTACTCATTCTCATGTGGATAAAAATTTCACTTAGGGTTTGAATACAATGTAGTTATTTTAGAATGGAATTATTTATGTATTGTATCAACAATTATCAGCTTTTAATATATGTGAGCTTTTAGTGAAACCAAGACATTTTCATTGGACTAACGGTAAGGGTGTTTTAGACTACATGACTCACCCTAGCAGAAGGGTTTGGTGCTCTCAGTCTATTCTCCAGGTCAGTGGCCATAGAGTGGTTTTCTGCCTTCATGCTGCTTAGTCGCTCTCTATACCTGGCCAGCTCTCTGGATAACCTCTCCTTGCGCTCTAACTGCTTGGACACCAGCGCTGCAACACACACATACACAGTGACAGAGAGAGCTGACGTAAAACACTGATTCCTGTCCACACCAACTAATTACCTACAAGGGGCTAAGGTACCTTCACTGTCCAAGAAATCCTGGAGTCGTTTATGGCACCGGTTTTGAAGCCTATGGCGTTATTTTGAGGAAGCAAAAGTTAAAATTTTGTATTTGATGGAGGTTGTGATAAGTCTTAAAAACACTTGATTTGTTTCATGTTTTTTATGTTTGTTTATGACTGAATACCAAGCTTTTTGTGTTTTGGTGGGTGGTAATACAACAAATTCAGTTCATTTTTTAATAAAACACACTATTTTCTGATTGCTGTAATGTTTATGTTGAAGAAGACATTAATATCCAATTTTATTACGGTAGTCAAAAAGTCATCATCTTGTAATATCAACCTAAAATATAAAAATTGCAAAGTAAACCAGAATTATCAGGAGGGTATATGAGTGTTTGATGTGCTCGCCTGGCTGTTCAAAGTTTGCCAGTTTAATCATGAGAAAATTCTTTAGTTTTTGGACAAATTCACCCTGGCTAAAGAAACAACTTGTATCTTATTCTGTAACAAAGTTATACAGCTCTTTGTTCTTCATTATATACTCATATTGAATTTGTATCCAGCTTACGCATTTAAGCGGCATTGTTGTCTCAAAAATAATTGATAAGGATAATGATGATGATATTTATTCATCATTCACTTTCATCTGAGTATTTAACAGTGTTGAATAGCTTCGCTCAAGTTTTATGCTACCCATTCATTCCAAATACCAGAAGCTATAAAATCTAACAACCGCTGCCAAATTCTCAAACCCTTGTTTTCTGACAGCGAATGGATGTGATAAATCCATCCTCGGCGGCTGTAACGATAACATCTCGCCCGCACTCATTAGTGCAGTGCGCTGCAGTTAGCGCTAAAAATATCGCAAAATTCACATAAAAGTAACGCTCTATTACCTGCGCCACGTCGGACGTCATGAATCACGGGCACGAGTAATCAACGAGGTGGAAGATTCTTGACTAGCAAGGACAAGGCCATCATTGTGTTCTTAACTTTTGCGTAAATTCTTGCCCTTCCCCCCAAGTTTTAAACAATATAAAGTCGTTTATTACCCAAATGAAAAATATATGCACAGCGACGTCAAGTAAAACACAATACATTTAATATTATTTAAAAAACTAAAAATTGTTCAAATGTCTTGATTATTATAAACAGATAGACTACAAAGCATAGATATAATAGTTTGCGTGGAAGACTTAGCATTGAGAAATTTAATGTTACTTGAAAACTGGTTAAAAGTTTTCTTTGTCAAAACTCACAAAAACTTAAATTGCTGTATAAAAATTACACAATTTTTTTACTATTTCACGACAATTTTCCTTTGAGTAGATAATTTTTTTTAAGTCAGAAAATGGAGACGAGGTCACTGTTTGTAGCGCCACATGTTTATGTGTTATTTTATACTTATACAGTAATTAGCCATTTTTAATTGTTTCACAAGGATTTTTTCATCAGGTAGAGAGTGTTTTTTCTTTGCGTTGAGACTATGGAGAGAGTTTGTTGTTTGAAGAACCATACCTGTAGGAGATTTAATAATTCCATACTCTAACATGAAGTAAATCAACCAATCCTATATGGATCCAAAACAAGAACTATGGTGCTAAAAAGGTAGCAAGATTTTAAGTTCTCACACAAATCTGCAAATCAAAGATAATCAAAGATGCAGGTGAGTGAAGAAACAAGAATAAAGGTACTAAGTTATCTGTTTTAAGCACCAGACTTGGTCATGGTTGCTGGAGTAAGAAGCTATCTGAGATGAATTGGACAGGTAAAAAAGAGGCAAGTTGAAGCTGCAATAAACGAGTAAGTTGAGGCAGGTATTGGCGAGGCCTTATATCTTCTATTGTGTGGATTAAAATGGCAATGGAAGTCACACTTAAATAAACAGCAGTTTTCATCACGGTACAAATAGTCAAAGTAGTTCCAGGATTGTCAGATCACTCAGATAAGGCTGTAACGGTTGGAACCACAACTGTGATTCAGTTCCACATCGAGAACAATACAAAACTAAACATAAATGTAATAGAAATTGTAGAATTTATGATAAAAACACATCTCACAGTTAATTAATGTGTTGCACCTAAAAAATGTTACACATAAACACTACCTTGTAGAAATAGAAATTATAACCCCATGTGAGCAATAAATCTACCGATTTTGCAAATATGTCCATCGCAAGTAAACAGCCTCACTTTAGTGATTTATCAACAATAATTAAATGTTTAGCAACAGCGAATGAAGATGGACATTTCCGCTACTAAGCTGGTTAAATACGAGCTGAGAGTGCCAACAGGACGACCTTACGTGAGACAAGCAGAATAATATCAGTAAAGGATTGCTCCGGCTACCTTAGCTCCAAATATAAGAGCCGTCGGTATGCAGTCTATATTTGCTTAAGTATGACTCCGTCCTATACCTCTCCATTTAATAGTCGTCATGTACAGTTGGATATATTGTAACACCTCTCTGTTAAATTACAATGTTTAATACTGATGGAAAATCGAATAAAGCATTATGAATTGCAACAATAGTAAAAACTAGTTGCAGTTATGGGCCTGTAAATAACTCTCAAACACATTTAGTTATAAATCTCAAATTTCTTTACAAAATTAATTACACGAGATTAAATTTTATAAAATTAAAAAAAAAATTGGATACTTTTGTCGTTTTGTGTCATTCAATACAAGAAACTACTGTTTAAGAAACCCCTAACAGGGTAGATTCTACCACAAAAAGAAGGAATTTATAATCAACCAATTTTAACACTGTAATCTGATGCATTGTACCACTCACAACAATGGTGTCATAGAAGTATATTGTCTAAATTCTTATACAAATATTTTCAGAAAATCCCACTCATAAATTACATTCATGATGAGTGGAAAACTGAGTGTTTGCCAAAATGTAATCAAAACCATACTGAACTTGATAAACTAAAACAAGCAAACTAGTGTCTGGACCTGACCACTGCCTACCTTAGATTTACGATAAGTGAATAAATTAGTTGTAACAGCCGCGGTGACAAACTAGCGAAGGTAATGCGTGCAGAAATAGCTACGGTAGTTGGTAATAACATGTTTTATGCAAGTCGTAAATCTGACGAGACACAATCAGTTGCAGGTACAAGTACGAGGACTCGGACTAATTAATACCACACCTGGCCACAGGCCAGTGGCAAATCAACAATCCTCATGCACTGAGCGTTGTAAGTCGACAATGAGTTGTTTCGAGGAATATTTAATCGTAAGCTTGGTATTTATACTTCAATAACTTCATTACCATTGTACAAGTCAGTGCTACTGTATGGATATACTGTACTATAAAATGTTAAGGTAGTAATTAAAAACAACTGAGCACCCTGAAATTAATATAGTTATTTTTCCTTAAGAGACATGTTTCGAAACTCAGTTTTCGACTTATCTTCACTTCAAGAACAAATATATTAATCTCAGGGGGCTCAGTTGTTTTTAATTACTACTTTAATATCATATTTTAGCAGCCCCATTTTGTAGAAATCTAAAGATAATATAAAATGTATTTTTTGCCATACTGAAAAAAATTCAGTCATTTTTATTACATGTGTTGGGGGTCTAAGGTAGCTTTTTTACTCCCTAAGACTTTTTAGTCCTTAGGGAGTAAATGCAGCTATTGTTAACTCAGTTGAAAAACTTCGATTGTAAGCGATTGAATGTATCAAAATTATGTAAATTGATTTTAGATGTTACTTTTACATAATTATTTTTGTTTCGTAACTTAATGGTGCGGTATGACAAAAAATATTGTTCATCACACTGACGAAAAGAGTCACTTCACTGTTGGTGAAACATACTATTTTGTGTTTTTATACTAATTGATATATTCACAGTTACACTAAATACAAAGTTTTCTAAGACGGTATATCCATTCATTACGAAAACCTACAAATAAATATTGGGACACTTCTAGGCGTACTTTCACTAAAATAGGGATGGGTTTAGGATGAAGTAAGATAGACTACCTTGCGTAGCTTTGTCACAGAATAAAACCACCTGTTTCTTGTAATGAAAATAAAACCCCAGATTAATTACAAACAGAATAAAGGGTTTATTCATCTTAAAACTGAACTATAAACAAGGGAATGCATTATAATGGAATATAAACAACGGTGAGTATTTACTAATAACATATGTAAATAAACGTATTAAAATCATGTGAGGTAAGTTTAGTTGTGTTCTATTCACTACATTTCTTTAGCCAGGCCCATTTATTAAAAGCCAAATGAATAAGGACATTTCAACCTACCAGTTACACCTGATTGAGCATCCGAATCAAGCAACGATTGAACAAACAACGATAAATCTAAAAAAAATCAGAATAACGACACAAAAGAAAACTACACATTTTACTTTTTGTAGTTCAGTTGCACTTAACATTTTGTTGTCATACTTATAATATTATAAATGTGAAAGTTTGTGTGTTTGCTTGTTTGTATCTTTGAAGTTCAATAGCACATTAAATATTAGTCAAACTGGGCTGAAATTCGGCTCACATTCCCGATGAACAAATAGGCATATTCTTATCTCAAAAATCCCTTCAGGCTCCACCCCAGTGGCTCTGGAGTTTCCCATGTTAACCTTATTGGTATTCACATTTTTTTTATTTTTTAAAGGGAATAAAATAATTTTTTCAGCTGATTCAACTAAAGAAGTTGGTTCTATGATATTCAATAGCATTAAAAAGTTATAAAGTTTACCAACAGAGTGCAGCACTATTATTTTTTTGCAATTATGATAAATAACCATCAAAGTAGGATTGTTTACAGTTATGTTTCTGTTTTTAAATTTAATAAATAATTTGCGATATTGTGCGAGTGTTTGATAGTTTACTTTTTTCTATTGTTTAGGTGCAGTGGTAGAACAGTATGGCTATGGTAGATGTGTAAT